GTGTGGAGCCTGGGGGTGCTGAGCTTGTGCGCGAGGAGCCTAGGGGTGCTGAGCCTGTGTGTGTGGAGCCTAGGGGTGCTGAGTCTGTGCTTGTCGAGCCTGGAGGTGCTGAGCCAGGGGGTGCTGAGACTGAGTGTGTGAACCCTGGGGGTGCTGAGCCTGAGCGTGCGGAGCCTGGGGCTGCGGAGCCTGCGGGTGCCGAGCCTGGGGTTGCTGAGGCTGGAGGTTCTGGAGGTGCTCGTCCTGGAGGTACTGGAGCTGCCGGAGCTGGTGGTACTGTCGGCACTAGCGGTGCTGGTGGAGCTGACACTGCTAGTCCTGGAGGATCTGGAGGTGCTCTCTCGCCACAGCAGCTATGCGAGTGGTACTCTCAACATTGCCACCGTCGGAGTGGCGCGGCTGGAGCTGGAGGCGCTGCGACTGGAAACGCGGGAGCTGGAGGTACTGCAGTGGCCGGAGATGGTGATGCTGCGGACTCTGGAGCAGTAGGCGCTGGAGCTGGAGTTTCTGGAGCTGCTGGAGACCCTGGAGCTGTTGGAGTTGGAGGGCTGCAGCTGCTGGAGCTGGTGGTGCTGCGGGTGCTGGAGGTGCTGGTGGTACGAGCCCCGCTGGTCCCGAAGGTGCTCGCACTTCAGGTGCTGGCGCTGCCGGAGCTGGTGGTGCTACGGACTCTGGAGCTATAGGCGCTGGAGCTGGCGTTTCTGGAGCGGCTGGAGACCCTGGAGGTGCCGGTCCTGGAGGTACTGCACCGCCACGTTTGTTCTTCGCTCCACCGTCACCGTCATCTCTGCCGCTACCTGACCCGGTGCTCCACCAGGTTCTTAGCCTCCCGTCTTCTACTGGTCTCCCGTTACAGCCAGGCTCCCCACTGCCTGCTCCCTCTCCTTACACTGAGCAAACTGAATCGCTTACAAAGCGTCGCGAGCCTGCATCCTGTCCTGCCTCGCCTGTTCGCACTGGTCGCACTGGTCGCACTGGTCGTCGTGTTCCTCGTGTTTCGGCACGCACACTATGGTACTACGGCAGACCTTCCTCTGTTCCACAGCGTGTTCCCCTGCCGTCTCCTCCTGCGTCCTCTCTGCCTGACGTTCCGGACCCTGAGTCTGACCTGTTTCGTGCTGCTCACCCTACTGTCACGCGTCTGTTAGCCACTGTTGTCACTGACCCGTCGTTTAAGTCTGCTGCTGCGTCTGCCTTAGTTGTTGAGCTTGTTGACTTTGCTGCTGCTTGTCGTCTCGACTACGCCACTGCTCTTGTTGCTGAGCCTGAGTCTGTCTGTCCTCCGTCCGTCGGGGGTGAGTGTGCTCTTGGCACGGACGTTCTTGAGGACAGGCAGGAGGACTTTGAGTGTCTTGCAACCTCTGCACCTCATCTTGTGGCCATGCTGCTTGCCCCTGAGGGAGACCCAGATGCACCAGACATCCCGACCCTGCGCACTTACGCTGAGGCGATCGCGGGTGAGTACTCCTCTCAGTGGCAGACAGCTATGGACGCAGAGATGGCATCCTGGAAGTCTACAGGCACCTACGTCGACGCAGTTCCCCCTCCTGGGGCGAACATCGTCGATGGCATGTGGATTTTCAGGGTGAAGCGGCCGCCGGGTTCTCTGCCTGTCTTCAAGGCTCGTTACGTTGCACGAGGCTTCAGTCAGTGACAGGGAGTTGACTTCTTCCAGACCTTCTCCCCCACCCCGAAGATGACCACTCTTCGGGTGCTGCTACACGTTGCCGCTCAGCGTGACTACGAGCTTCACTCTCTTGACTTCAACACAGCATTCTTACAAGGCAGTCTGCACGAGGAGATCTGGCTGCGCCGCCCACCTGGTTTCACTGGGTCGTTCCCTCCTGGTACCCAGTGGAGCCTCCGCCGGCCAGTCTACGATCTCCGCCAGGCGCCTCGTGAGTGGCATGACACACTGATGACGACACTTGCGTCTCTTGGGTTTGCCCCTTTCAATGCTGACCCGTCGCTGTTTCTGCGCACCGACACCTCGCTGCCGCCGTTCTACATCCTCGTGTACGTCGACGACTTGGTCTTTGCCACTGCTGACACTGAGGCTCTCGCCCTTGTGAAGTCGGAGCTGCAGAAGAGACACACGTGCACAGACCTGGGTGAGCTGCACAGCTACCTTGGCTTGCAGATCACCCGGGACCGAGCACGGCGCACCATCACACTGACTCAGTCACACATGGTTCAGGAGGTCCTTCAGCGCTTCGGCTTCACCTGGTCCTCCCCACAGTCCACTCCTCTGGCTACAGGTCATTCGCTCTCAGCTCCACCTTCGGACGAGTCCGTAGAGCCAAGTGGTCCGTACTCGGAGCTAGTGGGCTGCCTCATGTACCTGATGACCTGCACTCGTCTTGACCTTGCGTACCCTCTTGGCCTTCTGGCACGCTACGTGGCTCCTGGCAGGCACCGAAAGGTGCACATGGAAGCTGCGAAGAGGGTACTGCGCTACTTGTGCAGTACATCGGGCATGGGGCTCGTGCTTGGAGGGCGGAGCTCAGTTGTCCTCACTGGGCACTCAGACGCTTCTTGGGTTGACGACCTGGCTACGCAGCGGTCGTCACAGGGTTACACGTTCAGCCTTGGCTCCGGCTCTGTTTCTTGGCGGTCTACACGCTCGTCTTCTGTTCTCAGCTCCTGTTGTGAGGCTGAGATCTACGCCACAGCCATGGCTGCACTGGAGTTAAGCTGGCTCATTTACCTGCTGAGCGACTTGGGAGAGAGGCCTCATTCTCCTCCAGTTCTGTACGTCGACAACAAGGCTGCCATTGCCTTGTGTCAGGAGCACAGACTGGAGTACAGAACGAAGCACATCGCTCTGCGTTACTTCCTTGCTTGAGAGTTGGAGCAGTGTGGTCAGCTTCGTGTCACTCGCGTGCCCACCCGGGCCAACACGGCTGATGTGTTCACCAAGGCCCTTCCGGCTGGTGATCATCAGCGCTTCTGCACTGCTCTAGGCCTGGTGCCTACGTTTCCTCGCTGTATATGTCTATAAACATGTACCTGCATGCTTACTCTTGCTAGGTAGTGATCACTGTACTGTTGCTGTTGCATATATACCTCTGCATGTGAACTGGCCTTGTGGCCCTTTGCTTGTGCTCAGAGAGTGTGGTGACGTTGTGATCCACCCTGAGCTTGCTTTGCTTTTCTTGACTGGTCTTGTGACCCCTTGTTCTCCCCCACTTTGCCTATGGGGGTGTGTCAAACTATGTATGTTCTAATATAATATATAGGCTGTAGTGGGGTAGCCAATATGGGGTACAACCCCTTTAGGGTTTCCATATGTACCTAACTCTTTCATAGTTCACACCATTCGTGCTCCTATCTTTGACATGTATCGCGTTCGGTCCTGATACTTTAGATTCCGTGAAACACGCAGATTTGCCAAGTTCGGCGCCTAGGCTTTCACCGTCAGCAGTCACTTTCGGTACCGTATTCTCTCGGACAAAACAACCCCCATGATAGAGCACCCCCGGGTAGCTTGTGCGGGGTGGGTGCTATGGGCGACCTCGATTTCACTATACCCCCCTTTTTGGATGATTTTTTATAATACCCCCATTTTTCTTACAGATTCTATATTATAGGTAGCTGTTAACGAGTAGGTGCAAGTACGGGAGTGTGTCGCGAAAATCCCTCGCTCGATGAAATTTCCCGGTTCTTTCACATCAAATCGGCCGAGATTCCCCCCCGCCCATTATTTCGCTGTCGCCACGTGCTGGCGAATCTTCCGCTGCAGGTGGCCAGAGAGGTGCCAAATGACATTTTCGAGGGGGTGATGACGATCGCGTCGAAACTCACATTCGCGCCTCAACATGTGATGTTAAAAAGCCCATGAAAACACTCAGCTTGTCTAATAAAAAAACTCTCACACTAAAATATACCATATACCGGTATATGCACCCGGGTATTATGTAGCTTTTTCCTATGAGAAGACACCCCCCTTTTTTGTCCTGTGCACCAGTGCCACCTTGCACCTCGGAGTGGTTTTGCTGTAATGAAACTCGCTAATGGATTATGATTCTCATCAGTGTGCAGTGCAAGTTTTAAACACGCTGATTGTTTTGCCAAACCCTGAAAATCAGTGTTATACTCCTAGGGACATTGAGTGCTCAGGGTACCCAAAAACCAATCTGAGGCCCTGCTTACAAATGAACATCCTATATATTGTTTCGTGAGCGAAAGAAACAAGCATGGAGAAAGCAAACATTCCCCAAGAACTCACACTCCCCTCTCATCACAACCACTCCTGCACGAAGCAACTCCATGCGAGCCCTTTCAGAGACCTTACTCGTCTCCACCTTCAAATACTGCAGCCTTGGCACATTCCCCAGCAGCCCGCCAATGCCGTCTGCAGTGACTCCACCGCACCCCACCACAGTCAACCGAGCGAGCACCTCCAGTTTACCCTCTGCTGTCTCCATGTCAGACAACCTGTCATCGCCTTCCACACTCGTCTAGCCTAAAAAATAGTAGCACTCATGTTTTTTCTTTCCAAATGGGCCGAAATCCTATCAAGAGCCTTGAATCTAGGCAAGGCAAGGTATGATGCGGTAAAATTTTTTGTCAAAAGAAGTACAAAAACTTTCTTGCAGCCCCTGGATTTCTCATCAACAAGTGCCCAAATCTGTGGGTAGAGCGTTCGATGGAAAAAAATGAAGTAGCAGTTGGTGGATGGAGTGCTACTGATGCAGATGTTGCTCCTACTATTGGAGATGCTGCTGGTGTCTCTCCTACAGGCAGCAGCAGCTGCTGCTGCTGCTGCTGCTGCCAGTGCTGCTGATGCTGCTCCTTAGCCTGCACACTGCAAGGACCGATTACAAGAGCTTGGTACTTGGGAAAACATATGCTGGAGCAAAAGCTCCTTCATAGACATTACAGTTCCCCGGTGAATTTTGAGATTTGAGTCGGCTCAAAAGTCAGTCCTTTGTCCCCAGTGTCCCCAGTGACAAAGCAGCCGCCATCAAAGACAGAGCGAGAGAGAAGAGTGATCTTACTGTTTGGCATACCGCAGCAAGTCCTTATCCTCCCTCAGCTGCTCCTTCTGTTGCTCCTCTTCTCGCACTCCTTGCTGCTGAATCTTCTTGGTATCTTGAAACCACTGCACAGAAAGTTATGTTACGATGAAAAGAATGAATTAGTTACATCCGAGAAGGGTTGATTGGACAGGAACAAAAGACTAGTTACCTAGGAAAACAACAAACAATAGGGCTCCAGACGTGAAGAAGCCCCCCTCCAGGTTCTCAAGCCCCTCAGCAGCTGGTTGTAGCCCACAACCACAGCAGCTCTCACCTTCCTGTGGTCGTGTTGTAGCTGCTGAGGTGCACGTCCATCTCGCTCGCCAGCTTGTAGTGCTTGTTGCACAGCTGACACGGAAACACCCTCTGAATCCCCCTCACATCCGCTCGCATCCTCTCCACCCACCCCGCCTCCTCCTGATGGTGTGCGCGGCACACAGGCACATGCAGCGTGCCGCATGTGCGGCGAGTGACAAGCGTCAACCACACCATATTATGGCACAGAAGGGTAATTTAGGTTCCACTCTTGAGTCGACTCAAAAGTCACCCCGCACGTGCGGCATGTAACAAGCGTCAGGCACACCATATCAGGGCACAGAAGGGTAATTTAGGTTCCACTTTGCAACACGACGGTTTGGGCCATCCAAGGAAGGGGTTTATCACACCAGCATCGCTGGCTGAGAGGGACAGGTAAGGTAATCATTGAGGGAGGAAAAGGAAGATAAAAAGCTCAGGGAAGGGGTAGAAAGGAAAGACGAAGCAGGTAATAAAGCCGAAAGGGGCAGGCAACTTACAGAGCCTCCTTGCCATGGTTGCCTCCAGAACCGACCTCCAAACAGCAGCAGCAGCAACAGCAGCAGTGCAGCTGCAGCCGCAGAAGCAGCAACGGCAACAACAGCAGCAGCCCATTCTGGAATGGCAGCATATGGGGAGTGCGCGATGAAACTGGTGTGTGGGCTGGGGGAGGTGTTCTTGCTGGGGGAGGTGTTCTTGCTGGGGGAGGTGTTCTTGCTGGGGGAGGTGTTCTTGCTGGGGGAGGTGTTCTTGCTGGGATGGGTGTGCGTGTTGGGAGTGGTGTCCGTGTTGGGAGTGGTGTGCGTGTTGGGAGTGGTGCTGTGATTTTTGGGAGTGCTGTGCGTGCGGGGAGTGTTGTGCTTCTCGGGACCGGTGGAGCATGCGCAGGGAGTGGTGTGTGTTCTGGAAACGGGCGTTTGAAGCCCGCCGATTGAAAGCTACGAGATGAGCCGAGCTGCGGCCTGCGCTGTTGCTGTGCCTGATGGTTGGGGTCGGCAGGTTGTGAGGGATGCAAAGGAGGGAGAAAATAGTGAGGTTGGTTAGCAATCGAGATTCCTTGATTCCTGTTGGTTGGTACACCATTTGCAAATCCAGCTATAGACAGGTTACGATAGTGGATGTAGGGCAGCAGGAAAAACATCAACCTGCCCGCACGCACACGAAACCTTCTAGAAGAGCATAAACGTATGTAAATGGAAATGTAAATTTCATCTAAGCTACCAGTTTCACCTACACCCAGCTTCAAGAGAATGTCGTTCACGGTTCACGGACCACTCGTTTACTAAACAAACATGTCCTCTGACCTCTCCACCTCTCCCCTTCACCTCTCTCTTCTATCCCCATCCCCTCTGCCTCCTTTAACTCCCACCTCCAGCCTCAGAGGCATCATATTCACACAAAACAACAAAGCACACATCGCTCTTCTATTCTATAGCATGCTATAGCGTGGCATGCTAAGGCGCGGCATGCTAAGGCGCGGCATGCTAAGGCGCGGCATGCTAAGGCGCGGCATGCTAAGGCGCGGCATGCTAAGGCGCGGCATGCTATAGCCGTGGAATGCTATAGCGAGGCATGCTATCGCGAGGCATGCTATCGCGAGGCATGCTCTATAGCGCGGCATGCTACAGCGTGGCATGCTAGAGCGTGGCATGCAATAGCGCGGCATGCTACAGCGTGGCATGCTAGAGCGTGGCATGCAATAGCGCGGCATGCTACAGCGTGGCATGCTAGAGCGTGGCATGCAATAGCGCGGCATGCTACAGCGCGGCATGCTATAGCGCGGCATGTTATAGCGAGGCATTCTATAGCGAGGCAGCATGGCATGCTAAGGCGCGGCAAGCTATGTTGCGGCATGCTATAGCGTTCCATGCTGTAGCGAGGCATGCTATATCGAGGCATGCTGTAGCGAGGCATGCTATAGCGTGGCATGCTATAGCGAGGCATGCAATAGCGAGGCAGCGTGTCATGCTATAGCACGGCATGCTATAGCGAGGCATGCTAAGGCGCGGCAAGCTATGTAGCGGCATGCTATAGCGTGCCATGCTGTAGTGAGGCATGCTATATCGAGGCATGCTATATCGAGGCATGCTATATCGAGGCATGCTATAGCGTGGCATGCTATAGCTTGCTATCAACCCAGTAAGTCCATCTTCTAACCCCAACGTCCCCCCTCCCACCGCTCCCTCCTTCACCATCTCCTTTGTCTCCTCCCCGCCCCCCCTCACCTCCAGCTTCTGCCGCTGCTCGTCCTTCTCTGCAGCGTACCGCTCCTCTTCCTCCCGCTTCCCCAGCCCCATCCGCCCGCGCTGCGTCTTCATACGCATGGGGTCCACAATGCCTGGGACGTGGTCTGTGCATTGGTGCCAAGAGGGAGGAGGAAAGTGAGTGAGGGACGATGGGGAAGATTTGGGCCCACTGAATCCGCTGCTGCATGTTCTCCTCTGCTCTGCAGTGCACCATTCCTCTTGGCTGCCCAGCCGCACCCCAGCTGCACGTCTTGCATAATCAAGCGCAGAACACAGGACAAGGTGGTGCGCGCCTTGGTGCTGGGTTCTGGAGAGAAGAGGGGGGGAAAGAAGGGCAGAGAAAGGGGGTGCGCCGGGAGGAGAGGGGGGCGAACTGAATCCTTTGTTGCAGGTTCTCCTCACGGTGGAGAGAGGCGGGGCGAGAAAAGCGGGTGCGGGAAGGTGAGGGGAGAAGGGGAAAGGGTGAACGGGGTAGATAACAAGGACAGGGTAGGTAGGTAAGGCTCGTAATTTTGGCATGGGAAGGAGAATACCTCTCGCCTGGCTTCCTCTCATTCTTCTCACCATGCTCAACCATCCTCGCTTAACCATGCTTCTCCTGGTTCACCTCGACTTGCGTCCACCACAAGCCTCATCCTTCATCCATTAATTCCTCTCCCTCTCTCACCTTGCTCGTTCCGCCCCAGTCCCTTCCCCCGCCACCCCATCTTCTACAGCAGCTGGAACCCCACGTTGCTGCACGCGATGGGCTTTCCCCTCTTCCCTCTCCCCTTGCTTCCCCTCATTCCTCCTCGCACTGCTGTCCCTCTCCCTCTCTCACCTTGCTCGTTCCGCCCCAGGCCCTTCCCCCGCCACCCCATCTTCTGCAGCAGCTGGAACCCCACGTTGCTGCTAGGGTTTGGCTTATCCACTGAAGCCATCTCCAGCCGTTCACGGTCCAGATTCTCCGTGATCCGATGGTCGATCGGCAGCCGGAAATCGTCGCCATCGTTCAGCGACTGAGAGTGGGGGAAAGACGGCGGGCGGAAGAGCGGGGGGGGGGGTGGGGGGGAGGAGGGGAAGAGGAGGGGGGGGGAGGTCGAGAGGGGAGGGGAAGGGAGGGAGGAGGGTGGGAGAACTGATTCAAAATGCTTCTTCGTTCACCGTGGCAGGAAAAGAAGAGGGAAAGAGAGTGCCGGCGACAAGTGGGGGAGTGTGGGGGCAAAGGGGAGGAGGTTGAGCTGAACAGACCTACCGGAGAGACACCGCGAGGGGACGAGCAGTGGCGATGAGAGGGATTCTACCATCCGCCGATGAGTTTGGACTCGATGATACAAGACGCCATACTTTCGACTGTCTCGTACGTTACTGGTACGAACCAATTGATTAAAAAAAAGGTATAGATTATTTCCGAAGGTTCGATTGGAGACTCTCCCGTTACCTTCATTGCTGTCAGCGCTTTCAAGCCAATAACGCGCGAAGAGCGAGTGCGAATGCGATAGAATGCGCATTCAAGGGCGAAGAATACGCCCAGCAGCCCCCTTCCTCTGGCAACGGCCCGTCATCGGTAAAATTGCTGCCCGAGGCTTTATCTGCTACATATTTTCGTCACCGTTCTTAGCGAATCGCCCAAACCCCCCTTGCGAGAAGGCCGTAGCTTACCGTAAAACCCCAACTTATAGTAAATTCAAATATCATTCATTATTGAAGGCGCGTTGCTGGCTGTGCGCAGCGCAGGTGCGCGCGCTTTGCTGGCGGTGCGCGCTGCTGAGGCACGAGGTAGTTGGGGGAAGGGGTGAGAGAACGAGGTGCGGGGTGAGAGAATGAGGTGAGCGGGAGGTGAGCGGGGCGAGAGAATGGGGGCTGCTGATTAGATAGCCGAGCCGAGACAACTGTGAGGCTACATGCATCGCGAATTCAGCAAAGGGGCCCGTTATACCTACGGGATCAGTGTACTCTAACCAGAAAAGTGTGAAAAACAAGATACAAACTGGCTGGAAATTCAGGTATCGCTAATAACTGTAGGCTGACGAATCGGCCAAGGTACATAAAAGCATGCCTGTTTCGAGGGGCCTGGCTCTCGCCTTCTCGGCATGTAGAAGATACACCTTCCTACAAGCACAATTACCAACCAATACTACATAGAGTATCTAGTATGGTTGCACACACAATTGAAGGCCAAGGGTGAACATAAAACCCGACTATTGTCAAGTCGGTAAGCAGGCGTGTTGTATCATCAAGAGCGCGGTTGAACTTCTCTGGCGTCCATGTGAAGGCCTCCATGGAGCTGTGGTGGTAGTGCATATGCACCTCCACACGCTGTTTACCCTCGCCTTCCCAGCATGTGAAAGATACGCCTTTCTATCAACAAGCAAAACAAAAAACGAATACCACACTGTATCTGTTAGGGTTGTTACACACAATCTAAGGCCAAGGGTGAACATAAAACCCAGCTCTCCTCAGATCAGTCAGCAACCGTGTCGTCTCATCGAGTGTGCGGTTAAACTTGTCTGGCGTCCACGTGAATGCTTCCATGGAGGGGTGGTGGTAGTGCACTTCCACAAAGAGCTCGTCCACGATGGCGGGCATGCGCGGGATGGCCAGCCACTCACGCAGCACCGCCCACTCCGCCTCCTCTATGTCCATCTTCACTATCACCGTGTCTTCTTCTTTCAGTTGCAGCTCGTCTAGTAACCACCGGGTCACATTCACTGTGTTCTGTGAAGGGGGGAGGGGGGGTTGGGGGGCAGGGAGTGGAAGGGAGAGGAGGAGATGGGTAGTGGGAGGCGGACAGACGAAGGGAAGCAAGGGGTGGTGTAAGCACCAGTGCACCTCGACAAAGAGCTCGTCCACGATGGCGGGCATGCGCGGGATGGCCAGCCACTCACGCAGCAGCAATCGAGTCACATTCATCGTGTTCGTTGGGAGAGAGAGAGGAGAGATGGGGGCGAGGGGAGAAGGAGGAAAGGTGGGGAGGGCAGAGGAAGGGAACGAAATAACCGTGAGGACATAAACAACGATAGCCGTGGTTGACATGTGGGTTCTTTCTGCAGCACCCTCTGTTGGTCCCAGTTAATCACGCTCAGTGTTTTCTGGGAGTGGGAGGAGGGAGAGAGGGAGGGAGGGAGGGAGGGAGGGAGGGAAGAGAGGGAGAGGTTCTGGGGTTTGAGACGCCTCCTCTCGTGGCTGAGGGAAGGGAGGGAGACGTCTTGGGTTTCTACACGCCCCACAACCCTCTGAATCTGCTCCTCCCGTGGCAGCAGTGCCTGCTTTGCCATGTTCCCTGCAGTCTGGGAGGAGACAAGACACGAGATGGCAAGCCAACCAGGGGGGCGATGGTGGGGAACGGAGTGAGGAACGATCGAGGGACGGTAAGGGAGTAAAAAAAGGATGAGGGGGATAAAGGAGGGAATATCATATCAATCTCTGGGAGCGGAAAAGAAAGGGAGAAGGAGGGAGGAGGAAGAGAGATGAAGAGGAAGAGGGAGGATTGGGGAAGAAAACGAAGGGGGAATAAAGGGGGTGGAGGAAAAAGAGGGGGGGAGGGAGGAGTTGGGGGGGAGGAAAAGGAGGAATTAGGAAATGGGGGGGAAAGGAAAGGGTTTAGTTTGGAAGAAAAGGAGAAGTTAGATGGAGAGGAGGAAAGTGAGTAGTTAGGAAAGGGGAAGGAAAAGGAGGAGTTAGGAAGGGGGGACGAAAGGGAGGAGGGAGGAAAGGGGAGAAGGGGAAAGGTAGCGGGGGAGGAATGGGAGACAGGAGGGACGGGAGGAAGGGGGAAAGGTAGGTGGGGAAGAAAGAAGCGACAAAATTGGAACAGGAGTAGCGAAGAATTGTAGATATGGGGAGGAAGGAGAGGGGCAAGAAAAAATGAATTCTAGCTATGAGACGCATCTAAACCCCGTTAGGGAAAAGAGGCCGGCGGGCGGAAGTGGAAGGGAAGAGATGAACAGCGGAGCGAGGGTAGGCAAGCTGCACCTCTATAGCAAGTCACTTCTTCTATGACACTTCTGGCATGCATGGAACACCACCGGAAGCTGCTCCAGGGCTCCAGGCTTACCTGTTGCTCACGGCAAGGGTGGCTACTGCGTTCGCGTTCTCACTTACTGGTTGTACTTTGATTTGAACAACTTCTTCCAGGTGTAACAAATGTAAGCTCCTTTGATTGTTACCTCTTCTGGGTTGTCTTGGGAAGAGATGAAGAAGTTGTGGGGGTGAACGCGGTCCATCAGCCATGCAGGGAAGCCTGCAGGGCCCCTGCCGAACGGACGCAGGCGAGATTGCGAGTTGATCTCATAGGCCGCTACCTGAAACGGTTGGGAGGTGCAGAACAGTAACGAGTGGTTGGGAAGAGTGCAGCATAAACGAATGAATATGGGGTTATGAGTTTGAGGGCGGTGAAGTCCTGGAGCAGCGAAGCATATTATGGAGGAGAGAATAATTTGGCAGGAGGGAAAATTTGAGAGAGAATAGGAAGGCGGGTAAGACCGGGGTGCGCGGAAAGAAGAGCATTTCTAGCGTATGCTCCATGATCTATCCTTAGCAAGCATAGAGATATGCGTGCTAGCGTGGGCGTATAAGTGTGTATGTGCAGAATATTTTTTCGTAGCTCTCCCTGTCCCTTTTTTCCGCACCCTCCCTCCCAACCCCCTCCCTCCCTCCCTCGTTTTTTCCTCTCCCTCCCAACCCCCTCCAACTGCTGTTCACATTGTTGCCTTCTCCAAGATGGGTATAATTATGTGAAAATTTTATAAGCACCTCAAGCGGCGGTGTAGATGGTTTTTGAAACAGGCCAGTTTCCACTTCCACCGCATGAATCTCGGTGAAATCGAGCGGGTACATTCGAAGGAACCAGGTGACACTTGTCCCAAACTCGTTGGCTCCGAGGTCTATAAGCACCCTCCGCTTTCTGCGAAATCGCGGAATTTCGGGGAACGAAAAGGGGGGAAGATGGTTGGATTCATGGAAAGGGGGGGAAAATCAAGTGAGAAATTCCGTGAAAGCGACGAGTGAATTTGAGAACCTAGGCGACGAGATTTTCGACACCTATTAGCTGCCACCACGCGAGTTAGGAGATTTATGAGCGAAGAATGGGAGAGACAGCATGACTTTTTATTTCGATGATATATGAGATTAGGTTGCGAGAGCACATAAGCGCAAGTCTTATGATTCGATCAAGGATCCTATAGTACTCTTTCGGAATTTGAACCCTAGTCCTGCGTATGCAAACGGAGAGAGGAATGGGGAAGAAGCTGTTGATCCTCGGACAATGAACCTCTCTTAGTAACGACCAACATTTCATCTAATCCTGGCTGTAACGAAATTTACAACGCGGCATTACCCACCTCCTGTGCAAGCTGGGATCCATGTTGGCTCTTAGGAACGGTAAGATCTGTGTCTTGTCCTCCACGTCATCGACGAAGCCCAGGGTCCATCCGCGGCGAAAGTTCAGGTGCGCGTCTAGCTCCTCTATAGGCAGTCCCGCTACAAGACACTGGGAAACGCGCGGTGTCCACTGCACATTTGTGGGTGTAAGCGCAGGGGAAGGGACGAGAAGGACGCATCATCCCGAAAGTTGTTTGTTGAGCAACATTGCTGAATACGCTGGACTTTGCAAAAAAGTTTTGACCCCAACAAGTCCTGAATGAGTCCCCAAGGAGACCTTCGGGACTGATTCGCGGGTCTGGTTTTGGCGGTCAGCGATTGAGATTCGGAACCATGTCCAGATAAACTATGTTTGTGCAGGACCCTATTATAACACGACATTCACCCTATAATATTTTGAGAGGCCAAGAGAGGGTCCATCCGAGAGGTATTACTATTTGGGGGAGGATCAGGTCTTGACTCGAAAAGACGTGCGAGAGGGAGTCGGGAACGCGGGGAGGCACGCGGAATGGAGCGTTTGAAGTAGCGGTAGCGTTCAACTCTATCATTCTCCTCCCCGTTATCTACGAAGTCAGGTTCAGGCTTCGGGCTGCTTAGTACCTTCGTAAACGCCCACGCATCTTCGACACTGTTTTGCCGCGATGAGCTGCTATCTCCGCCATTTTGGACTACCGGAGTGACTCTGCTTGTTGATACCCAGTGAGAGCATGACTGAGCTGCGACGCCGCCTCCCCTACCGCTTCCGTCTGTGGTTCTTAGCGCTAAGTCGCAGTTGCACGGTGAGCATTGCTGGGGAAGCTGAACGGCGACGAGCGAGATCGAGCAGAGGAGAAGAAGCGTCGAGACTACCGACCAAGCGAGCGCCACGGGATACGGTATTAGCGACTCGACGTTCTTAAACGGCGTTCTCATTGGCGAATAGTCGTACATTATGCTGGATGGACTGCGCGACACGGTCATGGTAAGGGTTAGCTTTGATTCTACGGTTATGCGAAACGCTTACAGGAGTTGGAAGAAAAACTATGACTGCACGGCGCGGACTATAGAAAATAACTATGACCGCAGTATTAACCCAACCCGTACTCTTCCTTTGACTGCATCAAGGCACGGCGATGCTCGCAAGCACGTCGTCAAATGAGCTTGGCATTCGAAGGACTGTGGTTCAAAGTGCGACCTTGAGGAAAGCCTCGCGACGGTGATTCTCGCCAACACATCTATTGGTTGGCCTTATCGGGATGAATCCCGACCACAGGATTTCGTCTGAAGCCATTGTCGCCACGTGATTTGGTGGGCTGGATGTATCCGTACTTATCACCCGAGAGATGTCTGATGTTCGGTCTAATTCGTTGCGTCACGGCGCAAAACGGTGAATCTCAGTACCGTTTTCCACCGTGTGGAACCGTCTAGAAACGAACTGTATACGTACGGGCTGGACCATATCAGAGGAGGGAAGTGGCGGTGGCAGAGGTAGGTGCGGGCGGGACTTCAGTTCAGGGACGGCAAATGTGTGAATGGGAAGGAGGCTTGGTGGTGTTGGTCTATTTCTTGGCTGGTGTTTTGCGCCGCACATGCGCTGTTCCCGTTTGTGACACAAGCCGTTCTCTGGCGGAAACAGGCGTCACAGTTATTCGTGGCACTCCTAGATTTCATTTTCTGAAGTATTCTTGAAGCACCAAAATTTGGACAGAAACATGACATCACAAAAATATACGCTCACTTCTGGAAATCCAAGAACACCTGAGCATCGTCACCAACACCTCTGGTATGGAAAATTCCAGACAATTTTCCACCGCACCACAACACACTCCCTTCACTACACCACAAACATTGACCCCTTCAAGCTACTGCTTCAATTGCCCCCTCCTCGGCAGCATCCATGCCAGCTATTTCAAGAATCTGAAGCCGAGTCAATTCCTGGCAATGTGAAGCCACCGCACAGATAATCAGAACGAGAACAAGAATGGAGCACGTTATCTTGGACGAAAAGGAACACTACGTGTGGAATCAGTGTGAGAGGGGTGAACGTGAACGGTAGAAACGAAACAATATGGAGTTAAGCAAGACGGCTGGCATATAGATTGGACACTAGCATCACTGTAGCTGTTATGAAGTGTAACAGTGATGACGTGGCACCAGGTATTGCAACATGCAACTGACTGGGAGGAGCAACGTGTGATAACGATGAGAACATGCTAAAAGTGGAATGCCATCAGGAGGAAGAACAACATTTGCATATCGGCTACATTCCCACCACTTCAGCATTTGCAGCATCCCCAACACATCTCATGCTCCACCACAGTCACGAACAACGCATGTCTTTCTGTCAACCACCTGTGTGTAGCCATCCCAGCCAATCTTTCAACACACTCACTTGTCACTCAACACACACTCACTTTACGCTCAACTCACTGCCTCCTCTGTCTCAAACACTATCATTCTGAAACCATCCCAGTCAACCACTCAGCACACTCACCTGTCGGTGACCGTTGGTGCGGCGGTAGTTCTTTCTCCTCTTCTTCTTAAACACTATCACCTTGGCGTCAAGAGCCTGGAAAGATCGGGTTTAAAAAAAGAAGGGAGAGATTATAGTTTGAGAAATTTCCAAACAGCAGAGAGCACTGTATTTCAAGACGCCTAAGACATGCAATCGTTGTGTGCCCTTGTTATCCCAAACACACTGGATTTGTGAGTCGACTCAAAACGAGGTGACTTTTGAGTCGACTCAAAACTCAAAAGTCAGTTCTGTGCCCTTGTTATCCCAAACACACTGGATTTGGCATCGAGCCTCAGAGACTTGGTTGAAGAAATCAGATCGGGTAAACCAATACGATACATACTACACAAACGCAGTGAACCCCAAATCAGAAATTGGACTCAAAACTTAAAACAACGATGCACGGGCACTCTGCATAAGTCAAATAGTCCTTGGACGTCAGGGTCTATCAGGCCTGGAATGTCAATGAGTATGCCAAACAGGCTTAGCACGACATTGAATATGTCTTTTTGGCCTGGAAAGTGGAACTCACATGCTCCTCCACAAGCGCTGAAACAAACGCGCCTGGGAGAGTGGGCCGGCCGATGAGGGATGAGGAAGGCGAGCCAATCAGAAGCACCTTCTCCAAATGAATCTAACGGATGGGATTGCTCGAAGATGGACCGAGAAGAGGGGATAAGTTGACAAGGGCAAGTGACCAAAGCTGGAAATTTGAAACTAATGAGAAGTTTGCTCCTACTATACTGTCCGCACTGCAACATGCTATGCTCCACTCGTTCCCACTTATCTGCAGTGCACACTACTTTGAACTTTTGAGAATACAATCGTTCACACACGCACTGCATCACCATGCACTGCAGCACCATGCACTGCAGCACCATGCACTGCAGCACGGGATCTGATGGTGCAAATGGTTGGTGAATGCCTTTTGAGGTCCCAACTAGGGGCTTGCATTCCCATCAGTTGTCCACATTCAAATCAGTAAACCGCACTGCACCACACCAGATGAGTGCAAGCATAGGGAAAATCGTGCAGCACCGCACTGAAACCATGCCCACACACCAAATCACTGAAACTGGTGATTCCACAACAGCGGCCTCTACCACACAACACACTATGCACAGCACCGCACTGAACCTGACCATGCCTCATCTCCTCTCACTGTGTTACACTCATACACATGCCATCATTGCCATGTGCAAACCCACATGCTGCGTTACATTGCACACAGAGGCACCGCATCAAAGCACATACGCCCCGCACTGAACCTGCAAGCACCGCATTCAACCCATTCTCACCACGTCGTTGACATGGGCGAAGTTGAGCTTCTCCACGTAGATGGCGTCTCCTGGCGTCACCTTGAACTGGTGCGACCCCACCTGATTGGACAACCACGTGCCACGTGTGCAAACGTGACACGTCAGCAAACAGATGGTGTTGAAACACGGGTGGTGTACAAGGGGAGTGGAGGGAGTGCGGAAAAGAAGAGTGGAGTTGCAGCGGGGTCGGAATTGGGGGGTTAGCGGGAGGGGCAAAGAGTGACGATGGCGGAACTAAGAGTGAACAAAGAGTGAGTGATAGAGTGAGGAACAAAGGAGTGTCACGGAGTGATGGTGTAGGAAGGGGATGGGGAGGGGACAGGAAGGCTGGCGGGTGGGAGGAGGGGGAGGCGTGAAAGGAGGAAGATGAGAGGACATCGGGGTTGAGCGGGTGGATTAGTGTTTATTGGTGGATAGAGGAAATGAGGTTGGCTGGGGTGTGATTGGCTAGAGTAGAGAAGGTGGCGGGAGAGAGAGAGAGAAAGGGGTGAGGGAAAAGGAGTGGAGGAGAGCATCAGGAGAAATGGGGGTTGGGGGAAGGTTGGGGTCGACGGGGAGGGGGGAAGGGGTGGGCTCGAGGGGGGAAGGGCGGGGAGGAAAGGGAGGCGAAATTTGAAGGATGGGTTTCACTGCAACGGCTCTATTTCTCCCCTGCACGACTGGTTAGGGTTGAAAGGAGCCTCCAATGCCTCCACTGCAACGGCTTTACTCCTCTGTAACACGCTTCACCAGTTTACACCCATCTTCGACTCACACCCGCTCACCTGAACCACAGCGAACGCGTCTTGCTCCTTGATCTCCACCCCGGCCGCTTCGCTGACGTCACTCCCCCCGTTCTGCGCTGCTCCCCCTGCCGCTCCCCCTCTGAAGCGCGCGGATGCGGGCTCCGCCACGCGGTACCCGATCTCCGCCGCGTTTTCCTTCCGCCACTGCCCCAGAAACGACAGCGCAAACCCTTCCCGCGGGGGACTGGGGCCACTTGCTTCCGCGATACTAACATCCGCGGTATTAGCAACTGCACTAGCGTTGAGTTGGCCTGATGTGTGAGTTTGGGCGACGACAAACACCTGTGCGTGCAGCGAGCGAGGCCATAACGCGGATGTTGCATGAAGAGAAGGACTAGGCGGAGTGACAAGAGACGACCGCTTGACTGACAGTAGTGAGTGCGACAGTGCGTGCGACTGTGTGTGCGACTGTGTGTGCGACAGTGTTAGCGAACTTCTATCCGACGGCAGCGTCGTAGCGGCACCAACGGACTCTAGGCCTGGACGATATTGCGAAGGACATTGGCGGAGATGCGACTCGGCGAAAACGTGGGGAGATCGCGAAGCGGAGAACCTCTGAAACGATTCGAAGGATAACTGCGGATCTGTGGAGTCTCGGCATCGGCGCGTGTGGCTGCTGCAGGCACGGCCCGCCGCGATTACCGCTCGCCGCATGGCGGAACGGAACAGGGAGATACAGGGGAGGAATTCGTGGAAGCGCGCTCAGAGCGTGCTAACTGATCGCGCGAGGGCTGCAGGGAAAATAGGTTTTGGTGTGGTCGTACGCGGTAAAGTCCGTCGCGAGCAAGTTTTCTGAGCGTAATGCAAACCTTAGAAATGCATAAACTGGAAAGTCAACCTCCTAAAACAAAACCAGACCCAGAAATCGAACCGCGTCCAGAACTGTGTGGGCAGTGGATCCTCGAGGATCGAACGTCCAACCACAACCACGAAATAACGTTGTCCGAAGCAGATGCGTGTCAAAAACGAAATCCTCACCGTCGGTTGACTCGCTTGTAGTTTCAACCGTCCATCAAGCGCTAGCACATTCCAGGAGATATTCTACACAATTTCTTGCGCGCAGATTTGGCAAAACAGGGTGCACGGCTCTCACTTTGGGCGTCTCGTATCAGTTCGTTTTATTACGGTGGAATAAGATGTTGTGCATGTCAGAGCGGTTTATTTACATTTCTTTGCGTTGAAGTAGGGTGGAACAAAATTGAACTCGATAAGACGCCCTTTCCACGTCCCCAATCACTGGCAGGGGGTATAGGCAGCACTTATGACGATCCCATTCGACCATACCATTCACAACGTCCCTCCTCTTTTCAGATCTGCTAGTAGCGACATACCCGGCCGATTTGTCACAGCGTGGGCCCTCTGGCAATGCAAGTTTAGGCAGTCTTACTTATTCCGGCAGCCTTTTCTGCCTTGTCAGCTTGCACCAGCGCAACCTTGAGCTTATCCGTGAGCTGAATCACCTTCTTTTCTGCGACAGCCTGGCTCTGCTTCGCCCTCGTTAAACGCACCCGCGTGTCAGAAACCGCATTTGCCTTACTCGCCAGGTATTCGTCAAGGGCCTTCTGCGGTCAGCGACTGCTGCAACCGCGTTTTCGTACACCAGGCGAGTAGCATTCACCGCGCCTCTTGCATCGTCCACTGCCATTTGGAAAATGCTCTCTTCTTGCGGACCCTGCGAGACTAGAGCGAGCAATTCCTTCTGAACGCGATCCAGCCGTGCCTGCGCGCGCGCATCTTGCGCCACAATATCCGGGAGCACCTCCTCCACAGATTGGCGGTAATATTGCGCTTCCACGAGCGCAGCTTGCGCTATCAGCGAAGTCGGGTTGGCCTTAACGGCCCTTTCCGCGTCACGTTCCGCGTCCGCGGCCTCTTGCACGACGAGCCCCCATTCCTCTAGCAGCATTGACGTCATGCGCGCGCGCCGCGTCGCGTCGTTGACCGCCTTCTTTGCCGCCGGGATTTGCGGGTGACGGATCTGCCTGAAACGCCGCGAGATCCGCGATCTGGAGAACGAGGATATTGTTTGCGGTATCGAGATCGTACTGTGCATCGGCGACGCTGTTATTCATATCGGAGATCATTGCAATGCGGTCGTTGAGAGCTAGGTCTGGGCCCTGCAGATCGGACAGAGTTTGCGTGGCGGCCGCGACTTCAGCCGCCTGTTTGGCGGCGTCCGCTTGCGCCGCTTTCAGATCCGCCGCAACCTGATTCGCCGAGGCGTGAAGAGCCTTGGCTTTCGCTACGAGGAAAGCGTTTTGAGCGCAGATAAATGCCTCGGGAGGGGCGAGAAGCGCGGCGAAGCACGCCAGGAGAGCGGCAGCGAGAGCAGCAGGCGTAATCGTTGTCATGGCGGCGTTAGAGATACCCAGTAAGTCGCAGCAGCTTGCGAATTCGGCGTCGCGAGAGCTTGTTAACAGAACTTCTTGTCGAACTTGTGAGAGTTACAAAAACGGCGTCGCGGGCACGTAGAATAGTGTACGAGAAGCTGTATGCCGTTGGCAGCTGAAGAAAGAAAATCACGCGGCTCTCCAACTAAAATCTCCAGTGGAGAAGAAATGCACTCGAGAGAGATTTGTTACAAAATGAGCTCAGCTGGCGAAAGAACGAGTACACAAGAACGAGTTTATAGGTCGCGATGACTCCAGAGACGAGTAGTAGGTAGGGTGGAGAGTGACCGGAACCAGCAAAGCCTAGTCTTCGAGTCTACTCTGCCTTGCGAACGGAACTAGCTAAGCCTACACCATTCGCCGCTGCGCATGATTTGTCGATATGTTCGCCGCATGCTGCGTTGTGCTCTCCCGGCTGGAGTGACGCTTATGAGTGTAGCTGGCTTATCAACGAATGACTTCATTGCGATCGGACCTCTTGAGCATCTTCCTCAGCAGCGCCAGACGCCTTAGGCAGCGCGAAATCGCCCCCTAGCAGCGCCAGACGCCACCAGGCAGCGCGATCTCGCCTCAGCAGCGCCAGACGCCTTAGGCAGCGCGAAATCGCCCCTTAGCAGCGCCTCGACGCCACCAGGCAGCGCGATCTCGCCTCAGCAGCGCCAGACGCCTTAGGCAGCGCGAAATCGCCCCTTAGCAGCGCCTCGACGCCACCAGGCAGCGCGATCTCGCCTCAGCAGCGCCAGACGCCTTAGGCAGCGCGAAATCGCCCCCTAGTAGCGCCAGACGCCACCAGGCAGCGCGATCTCGCCTCAGCAGCGCCAGACGCCTTAGGCAGCGCGAAATCGCCCCCTAGCAGCGCCAGACGCCACCAGGCAGCGCGATCTCGCCTCAGCAGCGCCAGACGCCTTAGGCAGCGCGAAATCGCCCCTTAGCAGCGCCTCGACGCCACCAGGCAGCGCGATCTCGCCTCAGCAGCGCCAGACGCCTTAGGCAGCGCGAAATCGCCCCTTAGCAGCGCCTCGACGCCACCAGGCAGCGCGATCTCGCCTCAGCAGGGCGGAATCGCCGCAGAAACCACTAGGTACCACCTGAAACGCTATCATGGAAGACGACCCAGGCCCCGGGGACCCCGGGGTCTGGGCGGGAGACGGCGCAAACAACGGCACGACGGAGGCCATCGGGGGCAAAGGGGGGACAAGCACGGCGGCAGTCACGGGGTCGCTCTGCCTAGGGGCTGGCCACAAAAGACGGGGGGGGCCTGAGGGTGCGCTCCAGAGCCCACGCATCTGTCGCCTCCGCCACGAAGACATTCTGTGCCTCTTCGGCAAACCACCCAAGAGGCGGTGTTTTGAAGCGAACCGCCCGATTTCAGCAATTACAGGTGGACAATCCCCCAAGAACCCCCCCAGCAACCGGGCTGGCCAGAGCGGCGTCTCAGAGCCTTCGGCCGTCAACGAAGAGGGGGGAGAAGCAATGGGCGACAAGAGTCTGGCCGCCGATGTGGCATTGGAGGCTGCGAGGGCAGCTTGGGAAGAGCATCGTAGGCGCTTGCAACAACAGCACAACACTCGCAGGAGTGGCCTACCTGAGAGCGTAACGCGGCACAGTGCCTGCTCGACCGACGTCGACTCTCCCCTAGTCGTGCCACGTCTCGCACGGCGGCAGGAATGGCGGCGTCGGAGGGCGGCAGGAAGAGACAGGCAACGGGAGCCGCCGGTGGGGGGCCGGTGGGACCTGCAGGCGGGCGGACAGCAGGGGAGCCGGGAAAGAGGCCGACAGCCGCCGGAGGGGACGAGGCAGCAGCGGCTGCAGAGCGGAGGGCAGCATGAGCTGCAGGGCGGAGGGCAGCAGCAGCTGCAGAGCGGAGGGCAGCAGCAGCTGCAGAGTGGGGGGCAGCAGCAACTGCAGAGCGGAGGGCAGCAGCAGCTGCAGAGTGGGGGGCAGCAGCAGCTGCAGAGCGGAGGGCAGCAGCAACTGCTGCAGAGCGGAGGGCAGCATGAGCTGCAGGGCGGAGGGCAGCAGCAGCTGCAGAGCGGAGGGCAGCAGCAACTGCAGAGCGGAGGGCAGCAGCAGCTGCAGAGCGGAGGGCAGCAGCAGCTGCAGAGCGGAGGGCAGCAGCAGCTGCAGAGTGGGGGGCAGCAGCAACTGCTGCAGAGCGGAGGGCAGCATGAGCTGCAGGGCGGAGGGCAGCAGCAGCTGCAGAGCGGAGGGCAGCAGGAGCTGCAGAGCGGAGGGCAGCAGGAGCTGCAGAGTGGAGGGCAGCGGCAGCTGCAGAGCGGAGGGCAGCAGCAACTGCTGCAGAGCGGAGGGCAGCATGAGCTGCAGGGCGGAGGGCAGCAGCAGCTGCAGTGCGGAGGGCAGCAGCAGCTGCAGAGCGGAGGGCAGCAGCAGCTGCAGAGCGGAGGGCAGCAGCAACTGCTGCAGAGCGGAGGGCAGCATGAGCTGCAGGGCGGAGGGCAGCAGCAGCTGCAGAGCAGAGGGCAGCAGCAGCTGCAGAGCGGAGGGCAGCAGCAGCTGCAGGGCGGAGGGCAGCAGCAGCTGCGGAGTGGAGGGCAGCGTCAGCTGCAAAGCAGAGCACAGCAGGAGCTGCAGAGGGGAGGGCAGCATGAGCTGCGGAGTGGAGAGCAGCAGGAGCTGCAGAGTGGAGAGCAGCAGGAGCTGCAGAGTGGAGAGCAGCAGGAGCTGCAGAGTGGAGGGCAGCAGGAGCTGCAGAGTGGAGGGCATCAGGAGGAGCAGAGTGGAGGGCAGCAAGAGACATTGTGGGTGAGCGATGTGGAGATGGTGGACGAGGCAGGCACCGACGAGCTGGAATCAAGCCCCATGGAGGGGGAGAATGCCAACCCCGACTCCTCGGACCAAGCGGAAAGGCCCCGAGTGCGGGGGCGGGTCCGGAGGCGACGGGCAACCAAACTGCTACAGCTGCAGAGGGGAGGGCAGCAGCAGCTGCAGAGCGGAGGGCAGCAGCAACTGCTGCAGAGGGGAGGGCAGCAGCAGCTGCAGAGCGGAAGGCAGCAGGAGCTGCAGAGCGGAGGGCAGCGGCAGCTGCAAAGAGGAGATCAGCAGCTGCTGCAGAGTGGAGGGCAGCAGGAGCTGCAGAGCCGAGAGCAGCAAGAGCTGCGGAGTGGAGAGCAGCAGCAGCTGCAGAGTGGAGGGCAGCAGGAGCTGCAGAGTGGAGGGCAGGAGGAGCTGCAGAGCGGAGGGCAGCAAGACCCACTGGGGGAGTTGGATGTGGAGATAGAGGCCGAGGCATACACCGACGAGCTGGAATCAAGCCCCATGGAGGGTGAGAATGCCAACCCCGACTCCTCGGACCAAGCGGAAAGGCCCCGAGTGCGGGGGCGGGGCCGGAGGCGACGGGCAACCAAACTACTACAGCTGCAGAGGGGAGGGCAGCAGCAACTGCAGAGCGGAGGGCAGCAGGAGCTGCAGGGCGGAGGGCAGCAGCCCAATCAGAGCGGAGGGCAGCAGCAGCTGCAGTGCGGAGGGCAGCAGGAGCTGCAGGGCGGAGGGCAGCAGCCCAATCAGAGCGGAGGGCAGCAGCAACTGCAGAGCGGAGGGCAGCAGCAACTGCAGAGCGGAGGGCAGCAGCAGCTGCAGAGCGGATGGCAGCAGCAGCTGCAGAGCGGATGGCAGCAGCAGCTGCAGAGCGGAGGGCAGCAGCCCAATCAGAGCGGAGGGCAGCAGCAACTGCAGAGCGGATGGCAGCGGCAGCTGCAGAGCGGAGGGCAGCATGAGCTGCAGGGCGGAGGGCAGCAGCCCAATCAGAGCGGAGGGCAGCAGCAGCTGCAGAGGGGAGGGCAGCAGCAGCTGCAGAGTGGAGGGCAGCAGCCCAATAAGAGTGGTGGGCAGCAGCAGCTGCAGAGCGGAGGGCAGCAGGAGCTGCAGAGCGGAGGGCAGCAGCAGCTGCAGAGCGGAGGGCAGCAGCCCAATCAGAGCGGAGGGCAGCAGCAGCTGCAGAGCGGAGGGCAGCAGCCCAATCAGAGCGGAGGGCAGCGGCAGCTGCAGAGCGGAGGGCAGCATGAGCTGCAGGGCGGAGGGCAGCAGCAGCTGCAGAGTGGGGGGCAGCAGCAACTGCTGCAGAGCGGAGGGCAGCATGAGCTGCAGGGCGGAGGGCAGCAGCAGCTGCAGAGTGGGGGGCAGCAGCAACTGCTGCAGAGCGGAGGGCAGCAGGAGCTGCAGAGCGGAGGGCAGCAGCAGCTGCAGAGCGGAGGGCAGCAGCAACTGCTGCAGAGCGGAGGGCAGCATGAGCTGCAGAGCGGAGGGCAGCATGAGCTGCAGGGCGGAGGGCAGCAGCAGCTGCAGAGCGGAGGGCAGCAGCAGCTGCAGAGCGGAGGGCAGCAGCAGCTGCAGAGCGGAGGGCAGCAGCAGCTGCAGAGCGGAGGGCAGCAGCAGCTGCAGAGCGGAGGGCAGCAGGAGCTGCAGAGCGGAGGGCAGCAGCAGCTGCAGAGCGGAGGGCAGCAGCCCAATCAGAGCGGAGGGCAGCAGCAGCTGCAGAGCGGAGGGCAGCAGCCCAATCAGAGCGGAGGGCAGCAGCAACTGCAGAGCGGAGGGCAGCAGCAGCTGCAGAGCGGAGGGCAGCATGAGCTGCAGGGCGGAGGGCAGCAGCCCAATCAGAGCGGAGGGCAGCAGCAGCTGCAGAGCGGAGGGCAGCAGCAGCTGCAGAGTGGAGGGCAGCAGCCCAATCAGAGCGGAGGGCAGCAGCAGCTGCAGAGCGGAGGGCAGCAGCAGCTGCAGAGCGGAGGGCAGCAGCAGCTGCAGAGTGGAGGGCAGCAGCCCAATCAGAGCGGAGGGCAGCAGCAGCTGCAGAGCGGAGGGCAGCAGCGGCTGCAGAGTGGGGGGCAGCTGCAGCTGCAGTGCGGAGGGCAGCAGCAGCTGCAGAGCGGAGGGCAGCAACAGCTGCAGAGCGGAGGGCAGCAGCAGCTGCAGAGCGGAGGGCAGCAACAGCTGCAGAGCGGAGGGCAGCAGGAGCTGCCCGATGGGGTGCAGCTTGCGAGGCTGCCAGAGGGGGAGATGGAGATGGAGTCGAGCAGACAGGTCTTGCCGGCGTGTTCGAGTGGAGAGGAGCACCCAGACCCTATGCTGACACCCCCGCCCCGCATCCCGTGCGAAACCTGTTATCGCACTTTCACGGAGAGAGGAAAGGCCACGCGTCATATGTCGGCCTGCAGGGCAGCGGACGCCAAGCGCCGTGCACAGGCGCTTGGGTTGACCCGCGACGTCACAGACGACTCGGACAGCGAACCTCCGCCACCACGGGATATCAGTGAAGAGGTGTGGGCCGCAGTTCCCACATGGGACTGGGAGTCGTTTTTCGGGATCGAATTGGTGCCAGGGAGAATCATGCGTCGCATCCCACAGCGCGCAAGACTGGGGGTGCTTGATGCACTAGCTTGTATCCTGAAGCGGCTCAAGTCAAAGGCAGCAGACGAGGCGGCATCCTTGGTGTTTTTGGCCTTCCCTCGTCTTTTCTTGGGGATTCCAACCGGGCAAGGCCAGGGGCAGAGGGCGGCAATTAGGGAGCGGTTGGAGAAGTTTTGGGCTGGGGAGTGGCAGCAGCTGTTTGAGTTGGCGGTGGCGGCGATGCAACCTGCGGCTCGCCCCTTGTCCTTCACCCCACCCGAGCATGATCCTGATGCCGTGCGCCTATCCCGCTGCCGTACAAGGTGCAAAGTGGGAGAATGGAGTCGGGGTTTGGCGTGCCTTACGGCTGGTAGCATCGCTCAGCCCTCTCAGCACATGGTGGACGCGCTACGAGCGAAACACCCATCGTGCGAGTCCGCCATTCCTGGGTGGGTGCAGGAGGAGACAGTCGAGCCTTCCCTTATCCCACAGCTTTCAGTGGAGGTACTCGGCCAGGCGATCCACTCAGCGGCTAGGGCGTCCGCACCAGGACCGTCGGGGTGGGTGACGGAGCACCTGCGCGACACTTTTCTCTCTGAGCCCGCGTATCTGTCCCACCTGCTAGAGGTCTTCACCCAGTGGACCAAGGGAGAGGTAGCGGAGCGCGTGCGACCCTGGCTCACTGCGTCCAACTTGGTGGGCCTGTCGAAGCCGAATGGTGACGTTCGCCCGGTGGCTATAGGCGAGGTGCTCCCCCGCATACTATCTCGGGCCATATGCATCGTGCTTCGCCCGAAGATGATGTCGCACTTTGCTCCGTGTAACCAGTTTGGAGTCGGGTCCAGGTCGGGAGTGGAAGTCCTCGCACATGCCTTTCGCTCCGCCATCTCTACTCACCCGTCGTGGTGTGCGCTGCAAATTGACGTGGCGAACGCTTTCAACTCCTTCCATCGGCGGGAAATGTTTGAGGGTCTTCGACAGTCGCCTTTCAAGGGATTGATTCCATTTCTGCGTGTCTTCTACGGCACTCCTAGCGACCTCTATCTCCGAGCGGGCCCTTTTGTCGAAGCTTTGGCTTCCGAGCGGGGCTCGAGGCAAGGGGATCCATTGGGTCCGTTTCTGTTCGCGTTCACACAGCAGCTGGTTATGGAACCAACCAAAACGGAGTACGCCGACTTACTCTTCCTCAGCTATGCTGACGATACGTATATCCTGGGGCCTAGGGAACGGGTTCTAGCAGCCTATGAGGCCTTGCGGGAACGACTGGACGGGCTGGGTTTGGAGGTGCAGCCGCATAAGTGTAAGCTATGGGAGCGAGGGAGGGACCAGGATGGGGAGGAGAGAAATGAGACTGTCCCGCCCGGCATGCAGCAGACATGGACGGGGCTCACTGTGGTAGGGGTGCCCATTGGGGAGGAGGACTGGGAGGTGGCTAGCCTGCGTCGCCGGCTGACGGAGCTGCATGCACCTGTCCCCTGGCTTCCTCTGCTTGACCACCCACAGATTGCGTCCCATTTGTTGGCGATCGCAGTGTCGGCGCGCCCGATCTACCTCACACGGACGATGCCTCCACGACCTGAGGTTGTGGAGGCTTTTCGGGACTGGGACACGAAGCTGGAAGATTGTTTCGAGGAGCTGTTTCCAGATAGTACCTGGGATCACGATTCGGGGAAGTCCCAGATGGCTCGTTTACAGCTGCACCTTCCTGCCAGACTCGGGGGGTTCGGCATTCGATCTGCGGCTGACCTTAGTCCTCTGTCGTATGCATGTGGCTGGTGCCAAGCAGTGAGCGATGTGGCTCGGTTGGGGGTGGCAGGTGAGGAGCGGATGTTTGAGGAGTTTTTCCGCACGCCCGAGGCTACGACCTTGTTGGACCCCTGGTTTGCGAGAGCAGTGGATCTGCTTCCACAGTCGGTTCGGCAGGAGATGCCACCCCTTGCCTTGTGCACCGCTGATCCGCCTATGCTGCTCTTCCCCACACAACACCGTCGCCTGGCGGTTGAGAGCCTCCAATCTCTTCGAGGCATGGCCCACAACGATGCCACCCTGGCCCGTTTGACATCCCTTCAGGGCCCGGGGGCTGGGGCGTGGGTTTCTGCCGTTCCTTCGCACGAGGAGGCTACCTTCACCGCAGCCGAGTGGAGCATCTGCGCGTCCATGCGCCTAGGCCTCCCTATTCAGCAGCTGATAGTGGCCGGCAAGTGCGCGTGTGGGTTTGAGTTTGCTGATCCCTCTGACCCGCATCATGCCCTTCGCTGCAAGTATCAGTATGCACCTTCTCGGGTTCACGATGCGGTTAAATTTGTGGTGGCGAAGATAGCTAAGGGTGCGGGTGGGATTGTGACCATGGAAGACGACACGTTGCTCCCAGGGAAGAGGGTTGATGTGGCGGTTCGGAAACTGAGGGAGGGGGAGGAGCACGCGCTGGAGGTTAGTGTGGTAGATCCTATCTCGCTATCCGCGCAGCACCATGGACAGATTGGTCGCAAGGTGGGTTTTGCCGCGAGAGAGAGAGAAAAGCGGAAGACGGCGGACTACAAATCGCTTCTACAGCGGCATGGGGGAGTGCAGTTCACACCACTCATTGCTGAGACATGGGGATGCTTGGGGGGGAGTTTTGGACGGTGGCTTAAGAAGCAGGGTGACGCGCAGATCGAGATAGCAAAGACGAAAGGGGCGGCGCGAGCTACGGGAAAGGGTTTCTCGGCTTATTTGCTCGGATCGCTCAAAGCGGCTGTGGGTGTGGCTTTGCAACGGGCTCAGGCGCGTGTGATCTTGTTACGCGCTGCGTCGATGATGAGAGGCCCAGAGGCTGTTTGGGTGGAGCGGGAGGATGTTGAGGAGGAGATGGGATGGGATGCTCCGTGGGCGGATGCACCATACTTGGTAGACATGCGGGTTTAGGGAGTG